TCTGATTAAAGAACTGCTGCTATGCAATAGAAACAGAAAGCTCCAGCAGGCGGGAGGGGCTGTCAGGCACTAACAAAGAGACACAGAAGACTCTGCCCTGCCGGGCACCAGTAGCCAGGAGAGGGGGCTCCTCCACCCAAAGTCACCACTACGTCCACATCTCACTGCTAGCCAACATCATTCTGGAAACGGAACTTCACTGAGACACTATGGAACAGAGACCCAGGCACTACAACACACAACACAGTTGGAAGCTCTGAAGGATGCTTTGCTGGACAACAAATCTTGAAACACACTCATCACCACACTCCAGGGAACTGAATTCCATTCCCATCCTAACCCGTTCAGAGGACAGATCTGATGCTATCATCGTGACTTCAGGGAGTTGCTATTGACATATGACAGCTCAAGAAACAAGAGCCTACACTGTCTTTGGTCATACATTTTTCAGTAAAACTGCAGTTTGCAGTATGAACATTTAATACACACACAATATTATCCGTTAATCTTAAACGTTGGTGGACCTGCTGACTGGTGGTTACATGCAGAAAAATCTAATGACCTCAGAAGAGCCTCATGAAAAACAGAAGCTTCTGTTATTACTTTCCACAACCCAAAGTTGTGCTAGCATGCCTCTAGCAGGATCCTTAATTGTAACTCATAGCATCAGCATCAGGCTTCTGACTGCCCTATCCTACTCAATCCTGTCATTTCTTTGATATGAGGAGTTTTGGTCAGTTTTCAGCTTCCACAGTTCAGCAAGACCACAACATCCAGTTGCACAAACTCTTAGGAAAACCTATTTTCTTGCCTTTGCATAGTGAGTGTCCTTTTGTCTGGGCTCAAAGCAGTTGAGGGAGTTCTGCTCCTCACAGCAACACTGACTGGAGCTCAAGAGTCTCTCAGACTAAGTACACAAGACGGAACACTTCAACACTTAACAGGCAGAAGCAAAAAAAAGCAACTGGAAAGCTGAAAAACCTGAACATAAACTCACCCACAGGAGGACAGCAGCCAAATACTCCCAAGGTAACAGTCTCAGAGCAACCAGATACACAGAAAGAATAACCACAAGCCTTTGGTTTACAAGTCCCTGGATCCATAGTTACTGTTTTTATCTTCGGTACAAAGAGATGGAAATCTACACGGAAGACAGTACGGAAAGATTCAAGAAGCATTACAGTGCCCAGTCTTCACGCAGCACAGACAACAAAATCCTACAAAAGAGTATTGCCTAACGTAACAGCCATGTCAAAGAACAGCAGTGACTAAGATGCAAAAGCAAGAGCTGAACCATCAAGCTCATTAGGTTAATAGATGACAATTACAATTAGCGTTCTCTACTGTGATCTGTGTGAAATACAGACAACCAGCAAATACCGCACGCCAATCAATGGAGTGGGCTTGCTGCATGCCAGAGCTCCATCTCTGGATATTAGATCAGGTGGAGTCAGACATTCCCAAAGGATGATGGTCAGCTTAACTCTGTGTGTATATATCACCTCCTGATGTGAAACCTGCTGAGAGAACATCACAAATAACTACGCTGGAAATAACAGAGAACTAAAGAAACGAATTGTCCACTTTCAGGGCATGCATCTTTTGACAACACCTTACTTGTAATTCGCTTTTTCTGATGGAGAGTCAAGAAAATTTCTGCTGTTTTAAGAATTTTTTGGTCATCAGCAAAGGGAATGCAATTATTAAAAATGAGAAATAGACAAAAATCCCAATTAGCACAGGAATTCTATTAAGGTGGAGGACATGCACGCACTTAATGCATTTTTAAAACCTTGACTGGTTTTCAAGAAAACATCTCTTTATTAACTTTTACAAGTGTTATGAAGCATATATTCCCTTGTGTTGCATTATAGGGCAAATGGAGTTGGCCTTGGGCAAGACAATTTCCACTTCATTTCTCACATTTACAAAACAAGAATAATATTTGCCTATTTCACAAGAGCAAAGGAAAATTGAAGAGGGATATCAAAAGGCAGATCATTTTCATAGAACAAATTTTTAAATTATTTGTTAATGTTAATTTCACCAGAATCACAGGGCTTTTAGAAGTTGAAGTGTAATCGCTTCTGTTTCTTTTCTGAGTTAACACACATCAAGTACTGCTTTCAGGTTTGAACTACAAACAGCTGAATAATCTTCCTACACAACCACGTTTCATTTTGTAACAAACATACACATGGAGGAACATCTCCAAGTTTTCTGAAATTTTGTGGCCCACAAGAACAGAAAAGCTCTCCTCCAGATTCACAAGATGCTCTGGAAATGCAAATGTTTTATGTAAATAACCCTATTACTTTGGTTCCTGCATATACCTCCATATGAGGACGCAGGAAGTGATTCTTTCTTGCAAAAAGCAATGCTAAAGTACAGAACTAAAAGCATTTGAACAAGAAGATAAAAGAATGTTTCATCTACACTAAATAAATGAAATGATAATGTTGACTTCATATTGAAAAGGACTGTGCTCTATTTTCTACCATGGCTACCTTGTTTTACTTATGTGGAATTGTTTTGAATCAACAAAAAGTAGCCATTTAAAGAAAAACCCATACATATCCATAGAAAAACCCAACAATTTTCATTCTCTTGCAGCATCTTATTTTTCGTTTTATAGGTAGGGAACCTTACTTGGTGCCTATTACTGCACCACTCTGAAAACATGGTCAAGATAAATTCCATAATCACCATGAGATGAGAATATCATCCAATCTGATTGTCAGCAAACTCAAGTACTCTCAGAATAACCAGGAAACAGAGTTACTACCAGCTCTAAGCAGACACAAGGAATACAAGCATTTTGCATTTGGCTCAGAGCTGCAGAATCAGAAGTGGTGCCAACCGCAGGTAGAGGAGATCTTAACTCCCATGCAAACTATACTTCTACAGAGGCATCACATTAAGTCTGTGACTTGAATGTGTAGTCAAGATGTTCAGGGGAGTGAATTATTCTGGCATTATTCTTCTGGCAGAGCTCCAGGAGCTAGAACATCACCTAGACAGGTTCTGTGACATTCTGCACCTCTGCTCACACAGAGCATCAAACCTTCTAGCCCTCCTTCGTAATGATGAACTAGCAAAGCATGCCATTAACTCTCTCCCTCTACACCCGTTTTTACCCACGAGACACTTTTCCTAATGCTCACAATACTTGCAGATCTGCTTATTGTTCTGGCACAGATTTTTCCACTAACAGACGATCAAAGTTCAATCTTGCAGATTTGTTTGCTTTACCTGCACCTGCAGAGGTACAGCTGAAGATGACCAAGTACATTTCCTGTAATTTACCTGTTTGGCATTGTGAATTCTGTGCCTGTGGATGCTTTATGACAGTTAAGCTGTATACCAACCTCACAGGCACTTCTATGGAATGATGGAAATAAACCTCTGCAGATGCTAGCAGGTGGGAACTAGGAGCAGCAACTTGACATGAGTCCTGCATCTTCTCTGCCACCTCTATCCTGACACCTCCTTACCTTTTTCCTACATTCAAAGGAAAAAAATGTTGTTCAGGAATCATGCCCTTACATTTCTTCCCAGAATGGAAAAAGATGCTCGCTTCTGGAAGAAGTCAGAGCCAACCTTAAACGCACGTTCAGTTGACAAGACGATAGGGGAAAGGGCAGTGATGGGACAACTACTTGAAAGGGAGACAAAGTGCCATAAAAAGTGTTCTGAAGACATCAAGGCACAACCACCTATGAGCAAACCTGCACTTCACAAACAGACATCCCCCACATGGTTGTTAACAGCCCAGACACATTAACTAGGAGCACCTGGGTAACAGCCAAAATAAAACACATCCAGATCTGCATCCATGCTAAGACCTGCACTTTAGATCCTTCTCACTCCAGACTGCAGTTAAGCATCTATGATGGCACTTAGGAACTTACGAGCACTTTTGTTTCCAAAAAGCAGGTTTTCTGATACACAGGACTGCAGTCAGCCTCTCCAAGCTGCTTACGCACCTTCATCAAAACTGCCTGCAATTAAGTCTCTTGTTGGAAAAGAAATAATATTACTTGAAAGCCAAACCCCATGTGATTGTGCCCCAGAGGCAATACTTGTAGAACGATGGAGGTCAGCAGCGCTACTGCAAACGCTTCCTGTAATTTCAGAGAAGCATAAGAGGAAAAGGATGGGTGAAATTATACAGCAGCTGCTGGAAGACAGAGGGGAGGAAAGTGAGGTACACAGTTCCCCTCCCCCCAAAGCCTCCCAACTCTGTAGAAGCAGTTCCAAGAAGCGTTCAGATGCTTTCTCCATCGGGAGCACTTGTGAAATAAAATGCTAGCGCATGAGGAAGCAATCGCTTTCCAGTTGGTAGGGCAGCCATAAAGATAAGTTTTCACCGACGAGACTTCACGAAACTGCCGCCCCGCTCGCTAGGACTGCGGCCGATCCCTCCCCCGGCCCCGCCGCCTCTATTTTTGGTGCGCTCCAGCCCCGGCCGCGCCGCGCCGAGCGCAGCGGGAGCGCTCTCGGTGCCGGCCGAGGCAGGTAGCCCGGGGCGCCGCCGCGGAGCCGGGCTGCGCCTTTAAGGGGCCCGGCGTGGCGGGTGCGCGGCCGCATTCCTGCTGCGGAGCGGCGGCTGTCCCGACACGCCGGGCACGGCAGCCTCCGAGGCAACCTGCGCGCCCGCCCCGGCCCGGCGCGCCGCTCGCCCCGCGGGAACAAAGCCCGCGCCCGACACCGCCGAACTTCCGCGGGGAGCAGCGGCCGCGTGGGGCGGCGGTACCCTCCGGCTCCGCCTGGCCGGGGCAGCGCCGCGCCCGGGGACCCCCGTCCGGGCCGCCGCCGCCGGCTTCCCGCGAGGCGGGAGAAGGCGAGCGGTCCCGCGTCCGGCGGCGGGACGGGGCAGGGACAAAGCGCGGCGCCGGGCAAGGCTGCGGGGCGCGGGCAGGTGAGCGGCGCGAGGCGCTCCCGCGCGGGCGAAGCTCCCCGCGCCCAGCCGGGCGGGAGGCGCCGCGGCAGCCGCTTACCTCTGGCGCGGAGCAGCGCTCCCAGCAGCAGCAGCAGCAGCCGCGGAGGCGCGGGCGAGAGGCAGCCCCCGCCGCGCCGCCTCATGGTGGCAGCGCCCCGGCCCCGCGCCCGGACCGCCCGCAACCGCCTCCCGAGCTCCTCCTGGGCGCTACGCCCCGGTCCCGCGTCCCAGGCGCCTCCGCCCGCTCTCTCGCTCGCTCCCTCCGCAACCGCGGTGGCTCCGGGGTTGGGGGCTCGCTCCCCGCTCCGCCCGGCCCAGGCCCGGCCCCGGAGGAGGAGCCCCGCCGGGGCAGCCCCCGCCCCGCTCCCCCCCGGCGCTTCGCAAACTTTCCGCGCGGCGCGGGCGGCCTCGAGGCGGTGGCTGCGAGACCCGCGCCTTTCGCCGCCCCCGGTGTCGGCCCCTGCGGCGAGTCCCGCTCCCGGCGGCACCGCCCAGGAGCGTCGCTGCGAGCCGCCCGCCTCTCGCACGGCGATGGCTTCCCGACCTGCGCTACCGCAGAACCCCCAGTACCTGTCCCAGCCCCTTTTGCCACACGCCCCTCCGAAACCGAGAGCCTTCCTGCATCTCGCTCCCGAATTCTGTGCCCGATCGCACATGCTGCTATCTTCGAGAGCGCTCTCACCTGCCGTTTATAGCAGATCTTCTGATGAAGGCTTTTCCTTTATAGCTGCGATGGCTGAGGACAGCTGATGGTGTAAGAATCTGTTACCCCCAAAAAGGGCTCAGCTCAGAGTCTACGTGAGTAGAAATTAACACGTCAACAATCCTCTTACGTGCCTGCTGGTTTCTGCGTTACATTTAGAAGCAGACAGGCTCTCCCTGGCTGTTAAAGGCAGCTTTATGATCTTCTGTGGTAGGATTTGACGTTTTAATACACAGAGTTGGCAACGTGAGAAACCTTTGTTGAGTAATTAATCTCAGTTGCTTACAAAGTATTAATTTGGATGGATGGCTGATTCGGATACTCAAACTCTGGACCACAGGGGAAGATGGGAACTTTGTCAAATTGACACCAAAGGGGCAGCATTAGGAACGGTCTCATTTAAAGCCTTCACAAAGATGAATCCAGAGGAAACTACAATTATTCCCCTCCTTTAAAGAATCACAAGAGCAAGTAAACAGCACAGCATGCGATGGAGACATTTCTGCCATTCCTGTTAATTAAGTGTAAAATAGTGAAGACAAAAGATATTTTTAAAAATGTCAACAGAAAATTAAAGCGACAGCTCATTCTTAGTGAGCTCAATCTAAAGAAAAAAATAATAACCCAAAACAGCTTTGGTGGGAAGAACTCCCAAGAACAGGAACACCATAAGAAGCAAACCAAGCATAAATTCACAATATACAGCCCCAAATCAGAGGGCAGGTCAGAGTGGAAGCCTCTCTTTTTTATATGCTGAATCACTGCTTCAAGATGGGAACAGACCCATCCCATGTAATGAGTGTGACGGTACCTCCACTGTGGAGCTGAATCCTGCACATTTGATAGATAAAATGTACAAAATTGCCCAAGAGTTACAACTGGAAAAGATCGCCAAGAGCAAATGATTAAATGGAAAGATTAAAAAGCCTCTCTACACTAACTTGGATACAATGACACACGGAGCCACCAAGAGAATAAGCAATTAAACTAAGAGAAACAGCTCCAAGATGATTGTAGTGGAAGGTCTGGGTACAGAGGGTGAAGTTAAAGGTGATAAAATGCTACCACCACTCTGCAGTGGTTGACCAGCCACATGCCAAACCCCTGCACTACTGCATCCTCCTAAAAATACAGGGCAATACAGCCAAAATTCAAATAAAGCTGCAGTCTCTGCTGAGGCTGGATCCTCAGGTGGTATAAATCAGAGAAGGTCTGCTGACTTCAGGCTCACAGAAACTTATGAGACATTCAAAAACTAAAGTATTGCGCATGATAAAGCACAGACACAGGGCCCAGAACTTCCTGATAATTATATATTTAGCCCATGGAACAGTTTTCAGTAGTTGAGAGGAGTGTTTTCACAAGTTTGAAATAAAGGCCTCTCAAAAAATATTGTCATAAACACAAGCAAGTTTAGAAAAGTTGCTAAATACTGCTAGTAAGATTGAGCTCAGTGTTTAGAATGTGTATCTTTCAAGCCAGGTAGGTTTTAGAGAGACAGTGTAGGTATCAATATGCATTTTAATCCATGCACAAGGTGTGTATTTGCTTTTACCCATGGCTACAAGGAACATTACATAACTTGTAATAACATATAGATCACTGGTAAGTGATATATACCTTAAGTATTGTAATAAAAATGAGAAATAAATAAAGTATAATTAATGATTAATTGACAATACACTTAATCAAATAAAACAGGTATTATAAAGTCAACAGGGAGAAGGTTATAATCATTGTAATCATATCACAATTTCTACCCTCAAAAATTACAAAATTAAATAAATTGAATGGGAGAAGTTCACTCTGAAAATGATGGTAACTTATATTATTTCACAGTAAAAGCAACTCTGTCAGGAAAGCAGAACTAATACTAGAAGAAGAAAGGAATCAGGTAGGATTATTAGAGAAAATATACTTTTATTTTTAAACCACAAAGGCTTGAATAAGAAGTAGAAAAAAAACATGATGGGTACTTTTGCTTTTATCTTTCAAATCTTTCCCCCAGGGATCAGTACTGGGACCCATCTTGTTTAATATCTTTATTGACGACCTAGATGAGGGGATTGAGCGTACCCTTGGTACACCAGTGATGCAGATGACACCAAGCTGGGAGGTGGTGTCCATCTGCCTGAGGGTGGGGAGGCCCTTCAGAGGGACCTAGATAAGCTGGATCGCTGGGCTGAGTTTCAACAAGGCCAAGTGCCAGGTCCTGCACTTTGGCCACAACAACCCCAGGCAGTGCTACAGGCTTGGGGCTGAGTGGCTGGATGACTGTGAAGAGGAAAGGGACCTGGGGATGATGGCTTGTGCTCTGCTGAACATGAGCCAGCAGTGTGCCTGGGTGGCCAAGAGAGCCAGTGGAGTCGCTGTCCCTGGCAGTGTTCAAGAGGTGCCTGGATGAGGAGCTATGAGATATGGTTTAGTAGTTAGTGGGTAGTAATAGTGATAGGAGGACAGTTGGATTAGATGATCCTGTAGGTCATTTCCAAACTTGTGATTCCATGATTCAAATGCCCTTCCTTGGGAAGATGTTTCTCCACACCTCAAGTCCCCTAGAAGAAATCTTCTAGAAGAAAGTTTCCCAGCAAAAACTTTCACTGTAGCTTAGTTAAGCTCACAAAGGCTAGCAAAAGTCATGTTTAAAGTATTTAAGATAATATGAATTAACTTAATAGGAGCAAAATGCATTTGTGCCAGACTAGGCTCCTTTTCATAAGCATTGTTAAGTATTGGTAAGCAGCAGGCTCTGGACCCAGTAAATGCTGTCCAGCTTTTGACAGTGTCTCACAGTACATTTTCATGTAATCATATTTTAAATAAAACTAGCAAAAGGCTTGCAGGCATTTGATAGAAGAAAGCCATAGTGGTCATCAGTGGTTATTTACCAAATTCAATACTTCAGTTGGTACCTTTCAAGGCTTGTTTTAAGCCCTGTTTTGTTCTGTATGTTCTCTGACTGCTTAGGCAATGCAATGTTTATACTTGAAAAATCCATACTAACAACACCTGATAATCTCAAAACAATGGCTGTGGGGATGCAAACACTAGGAAGGATGAAATCAGATCTCAAATGCTATCAGCAGTTGGACAGACTGTCCAAAAATTAACAAGGAAAAACAGTAATGACAAACATGAAATATTATTCTGAAAGTCAACATAAAATATGAATTCCTGACAGAGGAGAAATACAGCAAAAACACATATTAAGGCTATATTTATAACAAACAATATAAATCAACAGTGCAATGCTGCTGCCAAAAATGTGTTTCATTCTGGAATGTATTAAAAGGTGTGTCTAGCAAAACAATTTGTTTCATTTCTAAACTTTGCAGGGTATGAAGCCCCAAGTGGCATTCCATGTTCAGCCAAGACCAGACACCTTCAAATTTTAAGCAGAGATGAAGAGAAACAAGAAAATAACAATAAGTTTATAAAACAAACCCTATAAGGAAAGACTGAAGAAATTCAATTAGCCTAGTCAAGAAAATAAAAGCTCCAAGTAGACACAGCTTTCTGATACATAAAAGCTCGTTACAGAGATGTTGATCAGCTATCCTCTGTGGTTCCTGTAGAAAGGCATGAAAGAGTCAACTTGATTTGTGACAAGAAATACTTAAGAGATTTTGCCAATCAGCATTCCAACTAAGCATTTCTAAACACTAGAACTGACCGTCGAGGGGCTCTGTGGAATCTCTTCTGCTGAAATTGTTTAAGAACAAAGTTTGATCAGCTTGTGGGTACTAGCCTTGATATAACTAAGTCTTGATGCAGTACAGGCTGGACCAGGTGATCTTTTGTGACACCTTACAAACCTCCAGTTCAACAATGGATATAATTCTGAAAAGGGAAAGTTCATTACAAAGCCTGCATTTTTGTTGTTCAAATTCTGCGTTAGTGAGCTTTCTTAACTAAGCAGAAAATCCAGGAAAAAAGCAAGCAGGAAAAAAAGCGAGGTTTCCTACAGAGCTCTGGGTTCAACATAAAAATCGCAGGTTTGGTGTCATCAGATTATGGGATTTTTCCAACTGCTCTTTTAATATCTGTCATTATTCTACTGCTATATTATCCACATCAAGCTCCCTTTTCAATATCACCACTGAACCAAAGATGCTGTAACTTGGTATGCCAGTTCAGCCAAAACTAAAGATCCTACCCATATATATAGAAAGATGCTCATAGACTGTTTGGCCTCAGAATTCACTACTGGATGTAAAAAGAGACTGTTGGATTTTCCAAAGAGCTGAGAGGCCCACAGCTTTCACAGCTGGTGACCTAGTTTGTAAATGATGGTCTCTGTGTTAAATACATTAAATGAAAATTTAGCATTGATTTATATTTTATGCTATGCTAACACTTTCCCTTGTTGCCTTCCCTGAAGTTTTTTTTAAGCAGTGACACCACTACTTTGACCTCAAATGTACTCTTAGATATCATCAATATTCAAGTCCTTCAGTACTGTTCTTTACATTGTTTCTCAAGTTAAAGCCCACTTGTTCTTGAGAAAACAGGAATGTGTTGCCTTCTGTTATGTTACTGTGATTGTTTTCATTTATGACACATAATATATTATATATTTATTATATTATTATATAATAAATGAAATTAACAATTCAGAGCTTGTATTACTTCATTTTTCTCCCCCTTTTGTTCATTTGCTGCCTTAAAAACAGTAACATCTCAATTTATTTGGAGGAAATCTGTGATCATCTCACAGACCACAATTCTACTTTGTGGTACATAACAACAAAACTAAGGAAGATTACAATAAATGTCTACACTTAAAAACTGAGATATGAAGAATCCTACAAAAGCAGCTTTGTACTGTAATGATCAAAGTACAGATTCATCTGAAAACCCATTTATATATCTATTGTCAGGGGAAAGGAGGGGAGACAACAACAAAACAAGTTGACTCTAGCTAGGGAGAAAGAAAACCAAACAACAAACTAA